GCCTACAGCACCTAGTATTCCTTGGCAGTCTCCCATCCAAGTACTAACTACAGCTGACCCTGCTTAGCTTCCAAGATCAGACAGGATCTGGTGTCTTTCAGGTGTAGACACTAGGCTAGGCAAACAGGGAGGGTGAGGTTATTGGTGAAAAGTGAGTATTATTTGCCTGATGTATCTGGTTTCAGATTAGTTTTTATTCACTGAAACATTTTTATACCATTTCTATACCATTTTATGTCTATAACAAGCTCTCCACATCTTCCCAGCCACCACCTACATTGTCGCTCCTCTAGGCATAAGACATGGTGGCATGTCCTTTAAAGATTTTTAGAAGTAAAAGAGTTAAGATCTTTAAGGTTATTTAATATTTTGGTAAACAATTTGGGGATGACTGTTTCCAACGTGTCATATTGTGTTACTATCTGGAAGTTTTAGTATTTCTTCCCTTCCCTTTCCTTTCTTTGACATATTGCCATCAGATCCCCTGCTGCATCTACTCAACAGGACTCTTCACACATTTCTTTAGAAGGCTAAAAGCTCTTCTCTCCTTTTAAGTAGGTTTGGCACATTCTTGCTGTATAAAAAGATAGTATGCTCTTAATGGTTGTGTAAAAGCTAGACAATTCCCCAGATGCATTTCTCTTCATCTCCATCCTTCTCATGGTGATTCTTTTTCCCTGTTGTGCAAGTCAGCTTAACTGTGCTGTTAAACTATATGTCTACATACTGGAAATTAATATTTGGCTAGTGGAAATGGAGACCCTTTGGTGATATTGCAGCACTAGAAAGACAAATGCCCATCCTCTGTTATTCAATAGACCAGGGGTCGGCAACCTGCAGCCCGGGGGCCAGATTCGGCCCCCCGAGGCCTTTGGACCAGCCCCAGGGTGGTCCTGACGCCCCTGCTGCTGCTGCTGCCACCGCCACCACCACATGCATCGTGTCCACCATTGTTTTCCACAATGGTGGCCATGACTCATTTGCACTTGCACAGTACTTGGAAAACAAAATGGCGGCTGCGACTCACGCGTGTGCAGTACACTGGAAGTGCTGCGCATGCGCGAGCGAGTGTGCACGTACATGCACAGTACTTCCTGTGTACTGTGCGAGTGCGCGAGCGAGCAGGCGCGGCTACATTTCGCCCCCCACCCTCGGCCCGCGGAAGACCTGGGGACCAGCGGACCAGCCCCAGGTAAGAAAAACTTGCCGACCCCTGCAATAGACTGATAATCTTATAGCCTTTTCAACATTTGAATCTGTGGTATGTAGATATCAACTTGGCATGGATACTTATTTAAATACCTGGTCATTTCTCCCCTAGACATTTATGTATAGATAATTTCCCATTGCTATATTTTCAGTTTTGCTTTCAATATGATTTCTACACAATAAAAGGTAAATGAAAAAGATAAAGGACCTTTTCCAGAGAAGTTGAAGGCAACCCAACACATGTGTGTGCGTGTGTACCTTGTTGATTTACAACAACCCAATAAATTCCATAAGTTTTTCTTAGCAAGGAATACTCAGAGACGGTTTCTCCTTGCCTTTCTCTGAAATATAGCCTACAGCACCTTGTGTTCCTTGGCTGTCCCCTTCTAAATACTAACAAGACCAGACCCTGTTTAGCTTCCAAGATCAGGCAGGATTTGGTATCTCTTATCTCTCTTTTGGAGACACATGTTTCTACGGGGCTATGTTTCTGACCTGTACTCTTTGCTGAAAGAGCTTTACCTTTATTCGGCAACCAAAATGCAGAAAATGCATCATGTTGAGCCTTCAGCACAGCTCTCTCATATGATTTTGAAAGCATTCTTTCCCACCCACAAGGGGGAGTAGCTGGCTTTTCAGAATTTTGCTAGTTATTTATGCCGCAACTATTAGTGTTCCATTCAGTGGTATATGGGAATTACAATGTACAAGTAACATTAGTGCAAAAAGGCATTACTAAGGATTCTGTATGGTGTAAAATGGGAGGAGGCCAGTGGGGGTGTGTGACACCATGAGTTACTGCACCGGGTGGCATTAACCCTAGGGATGCCAATGCTTCGCCTTGAAGCCACTGGTCCTGATGAGGACTAGAGAGAAGTGAGATCATTTCCAAACCAGTGGGCTCTTTTCCAGGGCAAAAACATCTCTAAACTGCTGTCCCAAATCAATGAGTAATTGTTGCTTCCATTTATGATTATTTGGAACTTGGATCTAGACAGATGTGATTCACTTGATCTGAGCTGTTACTTAGTGATTCTGCCACTCTTTTGGCAGATACACGCACTCTGTCCTAAAATAAGCATAGACATTTTTTCCAGTGAAATTTGTGACTCCTGTATCTGACGCACATTTTAAAATATATGGGGGGGGAAATGATTATTTATAATATGGCTTTTCCTGGAGGCTCAAACTGGAAATAAATCCTGTCACTGATCATGTTATTAATGAACAGCATCCTTCTTGGTTTATGTAAACCAGGAATGGGGAGCCTGTAGCCTAACAAATGTTGTTGGGTTGCAACTCCCATCATCCCTCACTATTGGATATCCTGAATTATGGAGTTGCCCTTCAGCATCGGGTTGTTCACAGATGGGATGGTGCTATGACTGCCATGATCATGACAGACAGATTATATGAAGATAACAAAGGACCTAAACACAGAGAACAATTTATTTGTAGCACTAGTGCACTGGGGTGGTGGGGTGCCTTTCACATTACACAGTTATAGCATTATGATTCCACTTCAACTGCAGTGGTTCTGTTCTGT